CTGTCTGTCAATATGGGGTGCTGTGTGTACATTAATGAGGAAAAAAAATTAACTTAAATGATTTTAGCAAATGGCTGCAATATAACAAAGAGTGAAAAATTTAAGGGGGTCTGAATACTTTCCGTACCCACTGTGTATATATATATATATATATATATATATATATATAAAATAAATGATTCAACATTAAAAATTTAAAACTATAAAAGACTCTCAATGATAATAAAACACCAGTGATAACCAGAATTTATTGCATGAATTAAGGCCAAGTAAAGTAATCAGCCAATATTGGAGATTAGTAACAAAATTAATAAATTTCACATTTCTGCTAAACTGCCTGTTACACAGTCTGAAAGCACATCAAGCACATAGATATTTTTTCCTGATATACCATATTTAATATTTTGAACTAGTTCTTATTTTTATATTTTTAATTTACATTTTAATTTATTTATATAAATTACGTATTACATATTAATTTAAATACATTTCAATGTATTTAAATGACTTAGTTTGTGATTGTGTTTGTCACTTTTATTAGTCTTAATACAGATCTTTAAATATAGTACCTATATAGCTCTTACATTTTATTTCACTTTTAGTTATTTTAGTACTTCAAGTTAAACTAGAAGAAAAAATAACCCTGTCCTGCACTCTAGTACCAGCATTAGTTATAGAAAGAACACTTTTGACCATTACACTGCAAGATCATACGGAATATAAGTGATAGTAGTCTCATGAAGGATATCATCATGGAAGTAGAACTTCAGCAGAGGAACCATCAGCTTGACGACTTGCTCCGTGTACTCGACAAAACCTTCCTTCAGCTCTTTAGCATAGCACACCTGAGGAACCGCAACACAAACAAAACATTTCATCATCATTTCATTCAAATACATTTAGATTCATTTATTTTAAATGCATTATTTTATTCAAACTAATTTTAAACAAGGAAATGTAATGGTTTTGGAACATTTCCAGACTCTTTGGGAAAACACCACCTGCCAAAAACATCAAGAGCCACAGTATTTGTTCCTCAAACATTCCTTTTGGGGGCTTAATGCATCTTAAAGTTTGACAGTAAGTGTTCATTTTTAAATGCTGGGTGGATTGCCATCTCACCAGCATCTGGCACGCTGTTGCTTTCTCCTCCAGTCCTGCGGTCTTGATGCCAAAACTCTGTTGGTCTCCAAGATTCACAAACTCCCAACCGTCATCTTCGGACATGTTCTCCATGTCCTGAGCTGTAGGAGTCAGACGAAAAAGTGTTACACCAACTCACACTCAGCTGAGTGCAGAAGAGCCAAACGCTACTAAGCAAACACTATTACAACATTAAGTGCAAGTCTAGAAACAACAACGTTATTATTGGTTATAAAATATAGAAACCGCCCACGGATTTATTTAATTACTACAACTACTTTTTTATTGTCTATTATAATAATTATAATAGACTATTATAGTCTAGATCATAATATGACTTTTATAATAATATTGTCTTTTAAGTGTAAATTTGACATCTAGTTATAAAATACAGTTAAACCGTTTTAAATTACTACAACTACCGTTTTATTAGTATATTATTATTAGGGCTTGGATAATAAATCGATGCATCGCGAATCAAGAAATGATTCTGCATCGATTCTGAGATTTCGTGATTCTCTCTTAAACTACTACTACTACAACATTATAGGTTATAAAATATAGTAATTCTGATTTAAATTACTACTGCTTTATTTTATTAACAACAACAACATGAAATGAAAAGTTTGAATAAAATGTACAACATTTCTCTTATGTACAAATACATGCATTTAACGCACCGGAAGAGTGTCACTAGCTGGGTTTCCATCACCTGGCTTTTATGCACATTTTGAAGTATCACATCAGAATCGAGAGATGGAAACGCTGAATATCGAATAAAAATGCCTTAATTCGCAAAAAAGTTTTTACGCTCGCTTGGTGGTTTTTGACTTGTGCGAAAAAGGATTAATGCGAATAATGGGAGATGGAAATGCATTTTACGAATAAATTCCTCCAAGCGCATCAAAAAAAGTCATGTGACTTTGCGCTAAAAAGTCATGTGACCTAACCCTAACCCTAACCCAAATCCTGACTAACCAGCGGACCGATCTTGTTCCACAGCATCTGGAATGTTGTTATATGGTCATTCGGAAATGCCCGAGCAAAGTCTGTCATCAAAGAATTTCTGTATAATTGCCTCCCAGAACTGTTAAACGACTGCGTTCCCAAACAGCAGCATCCACCTCCGAAAGCAATAACCGCATTCATTGTGTTTCGTCTGCTTGTTCTGAAGTGCAAGCAATTTATTATATAGGAAAATTATTATATTCAGTAGCTTCTCCTACTTTTCTTAGTGATGTATAGTGCCAGTTTATCAGAAAGTGATGATTTGACTCTTTGACTCGTTGGATGGAAACGGTGCTTGTTCGCAAATGTTTTGTGCGATATTCCAATTTTGCGCATAAGTTAAATTCGCAACTTTGGATGGAAACCCGGGCTTATGATGCCTAAAAATGCAGCTTGTGTAGAAAGATCACTTACTATCAAGAAGGGCCACTTCAGGTTTGATGGAGGCAGTCTTCATCAGTGGGCCCATCACCACGGGCAGGTACTGCTGAAACTCCTTCCCCAGGATCTTACACATGCGCGCCCAGGCCGAGATCATGTAGGAGATCTGTAGGCACAAGACAGCGGCTCAAACACACAATAAGAGAAAAGCAACTTTTGAACTCAGGCTCTATGATATGCTCGGCTGGTGTTTGCTGACCTGTGGATCATCGTCCTCCAGGTCATTGAAATCAGTCTGTGTCTTCAGAAGGAGCTGCATCACAGCTGAAGCATCCGGAATGAACTACAACAGAAATAATGTAAAAGGGTTGGATGGCCACGAATCAGGTTTTTACTAGTGCCGTCAATCGATAAAAAAAAATAAAAAAAAGTACATTTAAAAGTTTTTAAATATACTTTTATATTGCAATAATTTCACATTCAATCTTCAAATTAATGTAGAAACAACAAAGACAGTATTTTTTAATATTTGTTTAATGGCATCTTTTTTTTATGATTTTCTCCCCCTAATATTTAACCATTGACTAGCCATTCAGCGCTACAGTATAATTGAGAGCTATCAATTTTAACATTTATTAGACTTTAAAAAAATATATTCTAATTTAAGTGAACTTAAATCAATCTTCACATAAATCCATTTTAACAAATGCCTGTACCCTTCAGCAAGTAGGAAATATACAGAACTTGAATAAAGTTATCAAACACTACATTTTAATTTAAATAAAGATTAATCTTTAAAGCTACAAACGTTATTGATTTCCTCTTTCTTCTTTTGTTCTTTGATTAACAGACATCACAGCAGCTGGTTATTAGGCTATTTTGGCTGCTTTAAGAGCTGCTGCTGAACATGACGCGGATCTGACACGCATATTTTATCACAACTCTTTACCTTTTCTGACCCACTTCAGGTCTTAAAGTCTCTACTAATGAGCTGACGAGTTGAATCGGGTGTGTTAGATGAGGGAGCCAGTTCTGGGCTGCTATAGGACAGTTTTGAAAACCACTGCACTTTAGAGACATCTAAGTATTTAAATGAGTTACATTTAAGAACATGCATGCACAGTTTTAAGGCAGCTTTAATCACCTTTTTGATAACTTCATGACTTAACTGATGACATGACATGCTCCTAGTTTCTTTCGCACTTTGATATGAAATGATACAGGCTACAGCGTGTCGCCGCATTTGTGCGTGCATTTGAAGAGCACGTACTACGAGCACAATATAACAGCTGACAGGAGAGGAAAAATAGTTTTTACGAACATATGGCCTGACATCTCATCATCTATTCCCTTAAGGTAACACTTTTACAGTGCCCTTACTAGTGTAATTATACATTTAATATTAATTAACAGTATGTACTTACTAGAGGAATAGGATTTGGTTTAGGGTTAGTTGCATGTAATTATGCAAAATTCTGTTATTAGTAAGTTCATGTAACGTAACAAGGACACTGTAAAACAAAATAAATAAAATGGATAAATTTTACTTAATTTAACCTTTTAAGTAAAAATAATAAGGATCAAAATACGTAAAAATTAAAAGATAATTACAATTAAAAATAAAAAAAAGAAATGAAACTTAATTAGATTAAGAAATTATAAAACATAAAAAAAGTTTAAATTAACTAATTCAAAACGCTCCTTCGGGCAACCACATGTGACGACCCCGGGCTGGACTCCACTTCGTCCAGGTTGAAAGCCGATCCTGCGATCCATAGGGCGAAGTTGTTGTATTTCCTCAGCAACCAGCACGGATCAGCTCCAGGCATGACAAAGCGATATCGTCCTCTTTTGGAAGGCCAAACAAAGTAGTTTCGCTTTCACAACGAAGCACACAGCACCTTCACGACATGGCGGCGGCAACACTACAGCGAGAATAAAAGTTACGCCTTTTTTGTTTTTTTTGCGTGAACATTTGGGCGGCGTTATGCAAATCTTCCCAGATAGTGACGTAGACATGTGGGGGCGTGTTAGAACGAGCAGTTTTAGGTAGGTGTGGCTGACTCTTAACTTTTATAAAGAATATCTCTTTGAATTTGAAACCTTAGTCTTTGCAACTTTATATATCTTCTTTATGCACCAAGAGCTTGTAACATTCCAAAGAGAAAGGAAAAATTGAAATCGCATCATATGACCCCTTTAAAATACATTTAAATTAAAACAGTCCATTTTATTTAGTTTTCTTTTAATTCCAAGTTAGAAAAAAAAAAAATGAATCAAGATCTGCAATTTTTCCCATTCAAAAGAGTATATGCATATGCATGAGGATTACATGGGATGAGTTCACTTGTCAATATTTAAATAGATAAATTAATTAAAAATAAATTAGAGATAGACCGATCTTGGTTTTTTTTTTTAGAACCCTTTCCGATTATTATGACCGATAACCGATATGCTGAGCCGATATTTATTGTTTTACTTCTGATTTTGACACCATGTTAACAACAACACTGATCTGAACAAGCACTCCATGCTTGCAAACAAATCAACTTTATTCCTACATAAGTAAATAGAGGGTCTAAAACTGAAAAGAAAAAGAAAAAAAAAAACAGTTGATCTCAACTGGTGTGTTATCAGTTATGAATAGCATTTTCGCTTGTCTAGATTATGAAATACCTGCTGACAGAGCACTGTTTTTATCTATGCGTTTAAACGGAGCATATACTCAAATTGCGATCTCTAGCGGAGATCATTTCCACAGAACTGTAATTACTTGGATGCTTATTATAGAAATAAAGGTTATATAGAAAATGTTAATGTAATTTATGCAGTCGAGCGAGTGGATCTTGTACCATGTAGCTTTTAACATGCCGGAGCGTAAATCAGGTGAGTGAACGGGACTCATTAACGGCAGCTTTACGAGTATAATTATACTGCATAAACAACTGGTAGAGTTCAATTAAGCTGGTTTATTTCCAACATGCACTTATTTGTCTAATTTAACTCATGTGACGTTAAGTCTTTAGGCCATGACTTTATTAATTGTATGACTGTCCTTGAGTTTATCTCCATTTCTCAACGCCAAGCTTAAACTTAGGGATGCACCGAAATAAAAATTATTGGCCGAAGCCAAACAAAATGAAACACTGGGCCGAAGGCCGAATACCGAACACGGTTTTTCTCATTTTCCGCCATTTTTTTCACCATTGCATAAATTAAATAGCCAAAATGTGCTTTTTACTGTTTTGTCCTGCATTTCAAATAAAAAATCAATTACAAAACAACAATTTAAAAATATTAACTTAACACTGAACATTTTTTTTTTTACATTCTAGCAGACATTATACCAACAAAGCACAATTTAACTTAAAATTAATAAGTTAGTAAAATAATATTTTTGGGCCATTTTTGAGACTTGAGTCAGGCATGTATTTTTTACTGTACAAATAAAGTACAAAAAAAAAAAAAGCACCTTCTCTTTGCCCACAGCCAGGCCGATCAGGCTGATGCACTCAATGGTCTTTCCTCTGAGCAGGCGAAGCTCCTTCTGAACAGAGTTCTCTACGATGTGCTTGAGGGAGGGCATGAACAGATCATAATAGGGCACAAACTTCTCCTCTGCAGTATCAGCCACTGAGGCGATGGAGGTTACAACCTGCTCCAGCACCAGTTTGGTGCCTTTCTGGATCAGCTGAAGAATAAAATCCAACATTAAAGCATTAACTCACCACCATAAACCACACCCAGAACAAACCAATTGTCTCAAACACTGCATGCAGAGAAGTCTTCACACTTTCAAATCAATGGTGATCACACAATTCCACAACACCTCCTAACATCTGAATTGAGGGTCGATTTAATTTAAATTCAGCAAACTTAAATGAAACTGAATTCATTTCTGAATTGAAGTTGAACAGACCCTAATACAGATCAAACTAAATCTCACCGCGTTAGTTTTGTGCACCTAACAGAAGAGAAAACACATGAAGAAACGGCAGTTTCCACACAACAAAAACACTTCGCAGCGGAGTTAAACTTATTAAAAGAGCAGCAAACTCCCTTTAACCAATCCAACAAATGAAATCAAAGGGATAGGAGGCAAGACACACCTCCTGGAGTTTGGCGACCATAATGACATGCAGGTGCTGGACGAGGCTGTCCAAATAGGGGATGAGCAGGGTTTTGGGACAGTCCTCAGTGAAGTTAATGAGGGCGGCTGCCGCGTGGGCCTGGACACGAGGGTTTGACTGATCTTCCATGGTCTGCAAGAGCGCCGAGATCACCTACAGAAAGAGAGCGCAATGATGAATGTGACTGGTGAGATACAAAATGGGAAATCAAAAAGCTTTAAAATGATAGTTTGCCCAAACATTATATAAAATTTTTTTTTTTTTT